CTCCCTGCACTGCTGCCGCTGCACCGCACGAGCCTCCCTGCACTGCTGCCGCTGCACCGCACGAGCCTCCCTGCACTGCTGCCGCTGCACCGCACAGGACCGTGGCGAAATGCACAGAGTAACTGCCCTCAAAACCCTGCAAACTCATTCCAGTCTGCCCGAGGGCGATTTTTTTTTCATTCATGGCAAGTCCTGGAGACATTGTTAATGAGTTCAGCTGAGGAAATCGCACAAGGAACTGTGGGAGAGGGAAGGCTCCTTCTTGCTTGCCAAGCGTGAGCTCGAATGTGTGCCAAGAGGGTGAGGAGAGGTGGTAAAAATTTTACAAAGGAATGAAAGAAATGAAACAGAGATGAGGCAGTGTTAAGACTTGAAAATGAGAGAAAAGAGCTGGAAATTGAAGAGGGCAGCCATTGGCAAAGAAAGTCTTAGTTTTTAGTGCTTTCATAAATGTAATTTTATAAATCAATAAATATCAAGCTCATGTCAGTGACTGTAGCTACTAAAATATAAAGGGGATTAAATATTTACAGACAAGAATTTGAGGGAAAACATGTTTTCAAGAAGTTTTACTCTTTGATTCTTGCTACTGAGTTAAATTATTGGCATATTTAGGACACAAATAGCTCATGTATGTGAGTGACCTTTTAATTTCCTTTTCAATCTTCTGAACTGTACTGAGTAATGAACTGTAGTGAACAAAGAACGCATTAAGAACAGGCGTGGTGCAGATTTTATTGCATGTTTGCAGTAGACCAGAGAGCACTGTATTTCTTTGGGTGTGATATAGCAGGAACCTGCTGTGAAAGTAAGATCTCTGGGATCAGTGATCGCTCAGATTAAAGAGGTGGTACTTTACGATATCCGTGTAGCCGTGGTTTTGGTTGTGGGTGGTTTTTTTTTTTTTTTTTTTTTTTTTTTTTTTTTTTTTTTTTTTTTTTTTTTTTTTTTTTTTTTTTTTTTTTTTTTTTTTTTTTTTTTTNAGCACCTAGCACAGCATGGTCTGATTTGTAAGCTCCAATTTCTGCTTTTCTTTGACCTGCAAGTGTTAATGAGGCACGAAGTGCTTTGGTAGGGCGTTATTTGCCTAGTCGCATACCTGTCTGAAAGCAGGAGTTTATCCTTTGGCATGTGCCCCAGGCTTCCTGCCTGCATCTCTTCCTTTGCAGGGTTTTCTGCAGCAGTCACGACAGCTAGCCGTTTTGTAGAAAAAAGGATGTGAAAAAGCATGTGCTAAAGGGAAGGGATAGGAAATGACGTTTCAACCGAGAGGCTTTCATTGTACGAGGGGGAGGAGCATGCAGCAGAGGGGGAAGCAGCATGAGATCAGTGGGCTTTTTATTGCGCAGCATGAAAAGTTCCCACAGCTAAAATCTGATCTAACCTTTGCTTCCTCTGTGTCTTACAAGAAATGTTTTCCATGTAAGGCAAGGAGAGCCTGCTGTAAGGAAGCATGTGGCTGTCATTTATTTCAGAAAATGTGTCTCAGCATTCAACTGTATAAAAACAGACCAAAGGGACCTGTGATAGCTGCAGCCTTTATTGCCCACGTTTATGCTATTTAAAGACTAGTCTTCTCCAGCTTGATTCTGATGAAATAGCAGGGTTTGTCTAAAGTCTACTGACTACTTGTAGGTGATGAGGTTTAGCCAGGCATTGCTGGGGATAGGCCTGACATTTCTCAAGTCAACATAATTGGATTATTCAGCTGATAGTAAGCCAACACCTTTCCAGAAGGTTTCTGGGGCTCTGGTTTGACTTGATAAATGATTTCTTACACAAGGCACCTGTGCAAAGCCACCTACACTTCAGGTGTGGTTTTAAAAAGAAGTGTTGATTATGTTAATCACCTCTCTGAAGTTCTTTAAGACTTTCATTCCTGATACCCTTTTCTCCCTCGCACTTTTTCTTGACTTACAGTAATGGAGGAAAAACAATTCTGTCTCATAAATGGGGAGTTAATACTTTTCTTGACTGAAGAAGCCAAGGATTCCTTTTTGCATCTTGAAATGAAGATATTTGCATACCTTGGGTTAATCCTAATATATATAAAATAGTTTCAACTCTGAACTTCAGCTAATGTCATGAACCAGACCTTCCCAGGATTGATGACATTAAGCCAGTAATGTGCATGTCCCCTGTTTCAGTCTCCTCCTCAGCTTTTTTTTTTTAGTCATCCGCGAAGTCAGTCTCACTATAGGTTGTTCATCTTTCTTTTGTTGCAATGTCTTTCACATTACTATGACTGGTCTTAACTCAAAGCTTTTGCATTTTGGGTGAACGCTTGTAGAAGGGAAGTGGGATCTCTCTGTGTGTTCTCATCTCTTGACTGGTTTGCAGGTGAGCTTTGTATCCCATCTCAGGAATGTGCAGTGGGTGTTGAGCATTACTGTACTCTGAGATGACATGGCTCTAACAAGGCCAGTTCTTTCTTCTTTCTGCATTTCTTCATTCCCTTCAGATCAGGAGTCCTTCCTGCTGTTAGGAAGTAAAGATTATTTCCCCAGAAAAAAAAGCAAGCAAAAATTTTGGGTTGGGCATCTTGGAACTACTGATGTTGCAGACAATCACTGGCTTTGCATTTCTCCTTGCTGGTGGAAGTACTTTCAGTGTTTTCAAGGAATAGTGTTCCCTTGATGATAGTAGTGTTGAGGTTGTACCTGTAAATTCTACAAGGCCTCCCTTCTGAGAGCCTTTGCCTTTGGGGAAGAGTAACCATTTATGTCACAACTTTGAGAGTGAAACTTGCTTTTTGTCTAGTGACAAAACCCAACAGATTTCCTTGGTCAGAAATAAAAATTTATCAGCAGAACTGCTTCCTCAAAGAACTTAAACTCCTGCCCAATTTCACTTATTTTGTAGCAAATGTAGCCTAAATATAATTAACTTTTTCAGATTTGATTTGTCTGCAAGGAGCTTGTATAGATTGTTGGTGCCTTTGATGTAAATAAAGCATGGCTGTTCTTGGCAGAGATAATGAAACTTAACCTTGGTCCTTCAGAAGTAGGTTGTTGAGTTCTGTCCTTACCAGCATGTGTTCCTACCTTTCGAAAGGGTTCACAGTAGCTTTTCACTGGGATTTCTTTTCATTTTCAAGGGTGGTATGAAGCAGCCTCTGCAGTGATTTCCAGCAGCTATACTCAAGTGCTTCTGAGGAGCAGAACTTGGAAGTGGAGGCTGTGGCAGTGTTGCTAGAGACCAGGGAAGGGTATGTGAATGTTGGAGAAAAGGCTTCTGATAGCTGTTGTGCTCTGTAGTATACTGTAAGAAGGGTGGTTTCCTCAAAATGTGCCTCGTAGTGTCCTGTGGAGCCTTAGTGGAGCTATTTATTTTCCACAATGCAGGCTTGTCTTTGTCCTTCCCCCACTTCCCTCTTCATGTGAAAGGGTGATTTTGCTTCATGAGGAGAGCAGACCCTGATGCAAAAGGAGACAATGGAGATCCTTTGTTATCCAGAGCCAACTGTTGCTTACACCTGTTAAATGCAATGTTTGGCTTACCTGGAAAAGCAGCTCTAGGTGAGTTATAATGTGTATAAAACATGCAGAGATTAATCTTTTCACAAAATGAAGCTTGGAAGTCGCTTTTTATAAGATGCCAATAGTTGCAAGTGACAGACCACCAACTCCACTGGGTATAGCTGCTGTGACATTTGCACAATGCAGTCTCAGTCTGCTTATAGGTGGAGCTGCAGATGACATTTGGTGTTTTGTTGTCTTTTTTTAACAATTGTTACTCTGCATTTAGTGAAATGAGGTTATTAAAAATAACAACAAAACGCCAACCCTCCCATCCATTTTTGGTCAATTCCTACACAGGGACCCTTTCTGAAAACTCTGCATAATGTATTTTTTTCTTATGGATAAGAAAAAGAAGCCCTTGTTCTTGTGTATTTGAGACGATTGCCAGTCTGATGTTGATGTTTAGAACTTTCTGCAAGATTCAGTGCTTTTTATTTGTAAAGCATGCCTTAATAAATTAATAGTTGCTCTGTTTCTTTTAAACTGTTGCACCAGTGTCATTACTTTCTTGTTACTTCCTCTTGTCTGTTCAAGAGATGCCAGAGAATTGTTGAGCAAGTTTCTGATCCTGATGTCAAGCTGTTTGCATTCCTCTAAATACCTCTAGCATTTGTAGAAACTTATGCTTTTCTCTGCATGGGTTTTATTTAGAATGTTTGGCTTTAGAGGAAAAGGAAATTAGTAACACTGAAAGATGGTGTTAATGGATTTAACCAGTTGTTTTGCAGCAAATCCTTAAAGTGCAGAGGCAAAGATGAAACAGCTTTGGTTATGACAACTGCTGACTCTCAAAAGACTAAATTTCATATCAGATTTACAAAATGTGGAAAACAAATCCAGTCTTAAGAGTATAGTATAAAAAAGTGCATACCCTTCGAGAAACTCATATCAAAATAGATTAAATGAGCATGAAAATCTTCTGCTGTTAAAAGAAATTTTGGGTTACCGTCTCACTCTTTGGTGGGTCTTGCATATTAATTTTGTTATGCTGTAAGCTCTTGTAGCTGATCTCTTTGTCTTGGTGCTTGGAGCACTGTGTTACAGGTAAAAACATGAAGAGCTGTAATTTTAAATAAGCTTGCTTTATACTAATTCTAATAACCTTTATTTAATCAATTCAGTCTGAGGGAACCTTGTTTCCAGAGACAGGAAATTGCTTGAGGATTACTGACTGTGACAGGACCTTCATATTTATTTGCAAAATGTCTGGAAAAAAATAATAATAGAATCAGTCTTCCTTTAAAGGCAGTTGAAACTGGAGTTGCTGAGCTTTTCCCATGAGGCTGGGTAGAGGTCACTGGTCACATTCGCTGGAATGTTTTTTCTTGACAAATAGTTTCATGGCTTCAGTGTACTCATGCAGGGTACTTGGAGACACCTCAAAACCCCAAGCAAAGCAGGGAGTGACCTGTTTTTCAAGTGGATGTATGGTTCACTTAGCTGCTAGTGGCTTGACATACTTACCTTCAGATAGTAGAGAGTTAAATATGCCTGCTCTGAAATGCACTTTTTAGAGGGAGTGGGGAAGGATCTTCCACTTTGCATCTCTGTGTATGCAAGAGAAGCAAGGCGTGGAGGTGTCTGGGACAGCATGTGTGGTATCTTTCATGTTCATGTGCCCAGCCTGTTGACATTTGAATACAAGTGTGCTAGACAAATGAAAAAAAAGTAGAAATCCGAAAGACTCCATACTCTGTCTTCTTGCTTGTGTTTCATGGATTGTTGCCTGGTAGCTGGCCCATTCAGGTGTGGAGGACTATGACTGGAGCCAGGAGGTGGGCAGCACTTGAGAGTGGTGTGCTTGGCTGAGGGAGAAAGGCAGGGAAGCAAGAGCTCAGGTGAGTAGCAGGATGCTTTACCTCTCCTTTCTGGTCCCTGGTGAAAAGGTGTTGCCTGTGGCTTTATCCAGAGTTTGTCTTTGCACATTTTGAGTATCGGGAGAGAATATGATCTTTGGAAGGGTTTTCCCTAGAGTTTTGAGGTAGACTGGACAAAGCCTAGCTGTACTTTTGGAGTCCTAGGTAGTCTAGCAAAACAGCCAAAGTGTAATGTAGAAGATAAAATAACCTGTATGCTCTCACTTCTGTGTGAATCTCCTGACCTAACACGGGCATGTGTGTGATTCTTGCTTGTGTGCAGCACCACTTCATAGCCCTGCACAAAACTATAAGATTTACTGCTGAGTGTTTTGCTGACTCTTGCTGTTCTGCCTTGTGTAACTTTCCATTCTCTTTTGGCTTTGATTTCATTTGCCTGCTTCTAACAAGCCTGTGTTACCTTTGGCTATTTTGGAGCATTCTCACCCAGCTTTTTGGCTTTTAATCTGCATTGAAACCATGATGCTGGAGCCATGATTTAGGGGAATGATTTCAATACGAGTTCTTCTTACTGATTCCTGTAAGTCCACAGCCTGCCCAGAACTAACTTCAGTCCAGTTCCATAAACAGCCGTGCAATGCAATAGAAAATTCAATACCCTACCAATTAGTAAACTACATCTGGATAAATTTATTAAGGCTCTAAGAGATGTGACATGAAATTAGCTTAATTCTTATGTCTGTGGATTGGACCTTTATGTTCTTAAAAGCCATCTGGAGAGCAGTCATTTTCAACCGGCAGCAGGTCTGTGTGCAGGCAGTGTGCTAATTGTCCTGTGGTCTTAATTGCGAGGGGATTGAATGAGGATGCAAAATTCTTTTCTTTTTTTCATTGTACACTGGCAAGAGTGATGTGGCCCTGTGGAATAAAATCTGCCTAGTGCCTCTGCGCTGGATGTCTGCCACAGTGAAGAGTTTGTGGCAATACATGTGCATCTGTGCTGTTAGCACAGTGCACCCCAAGGAGGAAAAGCAGTAAGAAACATCTAGCAACTTTGCAGCTGCTAAAAAACAAAACTAAAGGGAAATAGTGGGCTAATGGATACAAAATCTAACCATAGTCCTGAGACCTTTTGAAGGCCTGCATTATTGAGATCTATTGAAGTCATTCTCTTCTGTGTCAGAATTCCAAATGCAGTCTTAAGGCCAAAATCAGAATTTAAAAACTTTTTTGGTTTGGTCAATGATCTGTCTTGTTGGAAGATTTCAGAGGACTTAAGGGGCAGTCTTCTTTTTCAGATTTTTTATGTGTGTGTGTTTATCTCTGAAAAAATCTATGTGCTGACAGATATTGAAACATTAAGGATTTGTTAGCCTGGCATGTTCTGATACAACAACATGTCTCTTGCTGAGAGCCTTCTTTATAAGGTGGAATACAAATAACAAGCACCATACAATATTTGTTGTCATTCCTTGAAAGTGGGTGATACTTCTCTATAGTGGATATTTTTATATCAGGGAAATGTAATAATTTAAAACTTGAGTTGTGTCTCACAGCTGTGCTTTTAGGAATAAATGTAAGAGTTCCTTCATCTCCTAGTATAGTTCCTTACTTAAATGTCAGACTGCTTCACTGAAGTTTATATTTAGAGGACTTTGATAGGAAAAAGACTTCCAAATGGATGTCCACTCAAGTGGCTGTGCAACCTGGTGGCATTGCAGCTGCATGTATAGCTTTTAGCCACACTAATTGAAATGAAAACACAAGAAATTGTAAGGATAGGGAGAGCCATGTTCTAGTTGTGAGTGATTATAAAATAAGCCTTTACGGTACATGGTCTTTCATTCTCTGAAACAGATTAAGATAGCTGCATAAATGAGAATAGCATCCTGGATATACAAGTGACTTTACCAGTCCAGTGCTTTTGTCAACCCTGTTACTGAAAGTAACATTTCAAGCTTGGATGTGGTTACAAGAAGTTCTGCCTTTGCACGGCTTTTCTTTATTCTCCTTCCCTGAAGCCATTCCAGTTTACTGTGAGTTTTCTTTTTTAGGACTTATTATTTTTGGAAGGCATTCTGGAACATTTTGTGCATATGGTCCTCTGTAAATGTGCTGTTTTACTGATTAAAGCTGAAAGTATGAAACCTAGCTTTTCTGATGCAGTGCGGCAGGGGAAAAATGCTGAAACAATAGTTTCTAAAGGGGATGCTTTTTCAAATAAGACATTTTAAAAAAATCCACAAATAACAAAAAATCACCCAAAACTGGGACAGATTGTGAGAGATTTGTTTTCCACAATCCCCCAGTCTCTACTTCCTTCCATAGATTGCATAGATGACAGTATGTTTTTTAAAAAAACAGTCCTTTAAAGCAGATCCAGCACTTTTTAAAAAATTACTGTTTTCTTTTCATTCACTGTTGACATGATCCAACTGCAATAAGCACTTTTGTAATAGTGCAGAAATCTGCAGTGCATTAGAGTTGTGTGCATTAACCTAACTCTTCTGCTCCTCTGCAGCTCTGTTTTTCTTCTTCCTGGTTCCTGGAAGTTCACAGCCTGCTCATAACTAACTTCTTCCTTATTTGGAAGGACAATGGATTTTGATCTCTTATTTTCCTTTTCCCAAGTAAAACAGAAAAAAATTCCAGTGAAATTCTTTACTTTAAAGAAAAAGTCTTAAAATCTGAGGAGCTAATGATATTTAGGGCTTTGTCTTGGGCTTACCAAAGCAAGGAAAATTGGATTTTTTTTTTTTTAAGTAATACAGTTTGAATCTTTGGTGAATGTGTCATGACAACCATGGTATGTGGAGATGGGGACGATGACACAATACTGAGACTGTTCCTAATCGTTTGTCTCTGATTCTGTTTCTAAAACTATGAGTCCTATTTGTAAGAACAAAAACCGAGCCCTGCTTGGCAGTTGTTAACCACACTGATTTTAGCATTTCCATCATGCAATGGACTGTAAATACCACCCCTTTTCCCCTTGGCAACCTTGCGCCTCTTCTTTGCACACCCCTTGGAAAGTCTGTTCCTTCCTTGTTGCTTACCTTTAAAAGGAGTGTTGGAGGGGAAGCTTGTTTGGTCCCCTCAGGTTTATCTCTGAACCTGCTGTCCATTTCTCTGGGCTGCGGCAGGGAAGAAGCTGGTACACAAAGGCTTGCACCCAGCATGAAATGGGAGTAGTTGGAGGAAGTGCTCCCTGCAATCAGCCTCAGGAAAATATGCTTGGCTAACCTCAGGATGGTTAGAGGAGCATCAAGTGCGATAAGGAAGGGTACAAAAGCATGATCTAGGTGCCAAAAGGACTTGAGCATGTAATAGGAAGGGTAGAGAGAAGGAAGCTGGGGAGTAAGCTGTGCAAATTGGCGAATCTTGCAGATTTATTCACTTAAGATAAGAATATTGGTGTGACATTATCAGTTGTAAGGTACTAATTATCCAGTAGTGAAAAATCCAGTTCCCTGGCTTAAAGTTTGGGTGTGCCTTAGTGAGTCTGTGGAGAGTTAGGTACATGCCATTTATCAGAGATTAAAATAGAATTTCAGAGTTTAACCTGTCCAGCAGGCTTCTTTCTGTGCAAACTCTAATGCTCCCTCTTGAAAATAGAAGTTGTGCATCACCAATTGTTGGTTTTGTTTGTTGGGATTTTTTTTTTTAATTTAACATTTTAAAATTTAAAAGTGTTCTAGAAACCTTTGTAGGAGAGAGCAGGTAAAAACTAAATTGAAACAATTAAATGAAAGAAACAGTCACATTTGAAGGTCATAGGCCAAACCCTCAGCACAGTTGGAGGATGAGGAAGGAAATCCAGCTATCCGGATTTCACTTCAGCAATTGGTTTGTTTGCAGTAGGGTGTGTGCTGATTCCAATGTCCACAATAAGCAGCTTGGTCTTTCCTACTGATTCTTCTTTGTAGCAGGGAATATGTGCAATTTGTCTATTTGCTTTATGCTGGGACTGTGCTGTGCAGAAACCTGCCTTTTTACAGTTTAAATATGAAGGTGTAAAATGAAGCTACCAAACACATTATCTGCTTACTGGACAGGAGGAGTGTTACATGTTGTTTGGCTTTTCATATTTCCTTCTTTCCTCTTCCACCTTTTCCCAGTATCCTGAATATTGAGAGTTGGCTGTGCTGAAAAATCAGATTAAGATTTTTCTGAACTGCCTGCAGGCAACTTCAAAGACTTTGGTTTTTTCCTTTGTTCCTAACTTAAACTGAGCAGTATAATTGAATTGTGATGCTATTCCTAAATGTTAAAAACACAATTTTGTTTTTAAAAGATTTCAGCTAAACTGGTTTGACCACAGAAAGTAAGTGGAATGAAGGATTTCTTTTCTCTGCTGTCACTTAGACTTGATTTTTCTGTTTTGTTTTTTTTTAAACTTGGCAGCCAAGAGGATGACTTTTTTTGCTTTAAAACTTAACTTCTCTTTGAAAGAAGGCAAAATAAGGATACAACAAAACTAGCAACTAAGGGTGAAGGTTAAATTGTCTAAACCACACTGCTTACATTAGATTCCACTTGCAGCGTGACCATGAGGCAAGAGCAACATTTGTGCTTAGCTTTTCAAAAGCTATGCTGTGCACACCCATCACTCATGCCACTGCTAAGATCTTTGCTGTGTGCATTCAAGAGTTAGCAAACAATGTCTGAGTATTATTCTTGAGGGGGAAATCATGTGGATAAAATAGAGATTTCTTATGTGTATGAGGATAGCTAATTTTCTTTTGCTAGGTTTCAAGTATGGTATTTAAAAGCAAGCCAGTAGCATTCCAAACATTCTGAACACTTCCCTAAATAAACTTTGAAGAATTCATGTTGAAGACCTGTTCTACAACAACAGTGACACAAGTCATAACTGTGCCAGGCATTTTGACCAACTAGAGAACTTCAGACTGTCCAGTCTCTGGTTGTCCAGAGCATGTCTTGAGCATATGACCTTCCAAAGAATGCTTTTCCATGTGGACCTAGGAGTCCTTCTGTGAAAAAATAAGAAAAATAAAGTCATAATCCTGGTAAAATTTACAGGGATCTTGGATCAAGGGATATGAGTTGGCAGCTTCTGAAGGTCTAGAAGATATAATGGCAAAGGTCCCCAAAGAGCTTATCTTAAAGCGATCTCCTGCCATATATAAGTGTGTCATCTTTGGAAAGGGCTGCTGGTGGTGTAAGAGCAAGCAGGGAGTCTGGCTTGCATGGTTTCAGTGGGAGTTAATGTCTGCTTGAGGACTTTATGTGGAAGCAAACTACTGCTCCCTGTGCAAGCAGGGCTGACCATGCCACAAGAGGGACTCTTGCTGAAGCATCACTGGGAAGCTTGCTTGATGCCAAGACTTGAGGAGCTGGAGATGTCCCTAAGCTGGGAGCAATCGGTACTGCTTCATTCATCTTCACAGCATTCTCTAAGAGGGTGTGTGGCTATTGACTTTGTGGATATAGAGGATGGCTTATTGTCTTATCCATGTTTAGTAGGTGTTTTTCAAGGTTCGCATTATAAAGAAAGAAAATACCTTCCACCTTTATTGGCTGATATACTTTTAACAGAGAAAAATCTCCTCCACTCCTTACTGTACTTATGGGCACTGCTGGCTGTACTAAATATTATCTTTGTAAACATCTTTGTTTAAACTTAATCCTTACATAACCCTTCAGCCCAGGCTGTAGCATGCGAAATGGGTCTGAAATGTCCTTGCTCTTCATACTTGTGCTACTGTCAGCTTCTGCCTTATTGTTCTTAATATCCATTAAAGAATGCAGCCTGTTCCTTAGTGCTTTGTATACACTTTGATTCTCCCAAACCCCTGAATTGTTAAACTATGTCCCTGGGAGTATGCCTGACAAATTTGTGTGATCTACACTGCAATCCAGCTAACTTCAGGCAGTGGATGCCTGAGGAGTTGTTATGAAAGCTGCTTCCCCCTGAGCTGTAGGTATAAGGAGTGTACTAAACCAGTAAATTTTCAGAGAGTTGAATGTCTGTCTAAATAGCCTCAAAACCAGCTCTCCTCTGGGAAAAAGGGATAGTTTCTTATCTAGTCAGAATCTCCTCTTCTAATTTTGCCAGGGAACAGTCAAGGCCGTTTTGTAACTTGGCTGAATCCAAAGGGAAGTACAAGCAATACCTCTACCCCATATCTCCTAACAATCCTGAGGGGTTTGTCTATGCTGTCATGCACTGAATGGGCTGGCCACCCTTGTGTGTCCTTCAAATCTATACCAGACTAAATCAGCTTAGTGGGATGTTTCTGTAGGCATAGCAGCATCACTTTCAGCATTCCTGGAATGGCAGCCCCACCTGTGGTAGACAGGGTACATGGTAACCTAGGATTCGAGTGACTTGGTAGCAAAAAAGAGGTGTGGAAAGTATGTCTGATTTTAAAAGAAATGAGAGAAACAATGCTGTGCGTTGGAGCAACCTGTTAGTGAATCAAGAATAAGCAATAAATGATTCCCTCTGAAGATATTCTTGTTTTAGGTATTTCTGGCTTGTTTGCTGTTCAGAGACCAGAACTGGACTGCTGACTCCTAGGTGCAGTCTTTGGGGGAGGAAAATGCCTCTGGTGAAAGGTGGCATACCTCAGGTGGCTCAGCAAATTTTGTGATAATTGCATGCCCTCTTCCTACCTCTCCTGGCTGCTGCTACATGTCACCTGACATGTATTGTTCCAAGGGCAGGGAGGGTCACTTTTAAAAAATACTTTGGCAATGCTTTCAGACGTTCTTATACTAATGAGGCTTCATTAAATTGGAATAGGGAGGACAGAGCTTTCTTGGTCTAATCAGAAGGGTATTTGCTGAAGATGGTGCACTGCTTTTTCAGAGCTGTAATTCTGTGTAGAGCAGTGACTCTTGGAGGAGAGCAGCTGTCTGTTGGCCTGGAGTATAGGCTGGCCTCTTCTGATTGAATATGAGCTTAGATGCTGTGCAGGAGGCCTGACTTTAGAGCACAGGGCAGATGTACAGGTTAACTGGCTTGGCTTTCTTCACATATTTTTTTCATTCCATGGTCTAATTGTTGCTGAAGGTATTCTAGCAGGTAAGTGAATGTATACTTATTCTGTTCTGTATGGTAGAAGTTTGCTGAACAAAGCATTGGCTCCATACTTGTGGAATACATGAGAAATATATAGGCTGTGCTACAGGCATAGTGGTATAGATTCACTCCTCTCCCTCCCTCTCCAAATGAAGCAAGAAACAAAAAGGGTAGACACAGTGTTTATTGAAGCAGCAGCTCCAATTCGCATGATATTTTGTCATCTTGAAATGACATTTCAAGGTAGGGTGTATGCAGAAAAAGAATTTTTTTCTGAGAGATAGCCAAAAAGAAAGATCTGAATTTTAAAGATAGCCCTTTTGTGAAGTATAAGCATAGTAGTGAGCTAAGGGAAAACCCTTTTTTTACTAGAATGGCTACCAGGTTTATTGACAGATCTAGATATTCCCTCCCATAATGCATCTACTGTTTTGCCTGAGTAATTGGAAATGTGAGTTGAGGCTGAGTCATGTGTTTCTTTAGTCAGTTCAGGTGTGTTGCTTTAATCTCAGAAGTACTTAAGGATCTTCCCCAGTAGCAGGAGTGCTAACCCAGATGTCCTGTTTGTCTTCACAAGGTACAAGAGAGTACGATACCTGCCTCTGCACTTCTCAGATCTCTTTGAGATTTTCCAGCAGTTTTGAATTTTCTTGGGAAACTTGGAAATGAAATAAAAAACTGAATAAAAAACTGAATCCTCCTTCAGTCTGCAGAATCATTTAACTGAAGAAGCTGTGGCTGAATGGGGTTTTCCTCAAAATTAAAACTATTCCTATTCCTATTGTCAGGTGTAAAAACCATTAATTTTGGCAAATTTGTTTTCACCTGAGAGCTTCAGATGTGTAATGAATAGTAGGATACAAGTACTGAAATGTGTTTCCAGGTGGGGTTTTTTGGGTTGTTTTTATTTTATTGGTTGATTTGTTTTTCCAGGGTGTTTTTGGTGGGTTGCTTGGTTGTTGGTGTGTTTACTTTTGGAGGCCTTGCAGTTTAAAACTATAACAGGTTGGTGAAATTTGTTCTGCTGGGTCTTCATTCAAAGTATGGGTTCAGCTTTGTGCTTTCTCTGTTTCCTAGCTGTGTTTTGTGTGTTTATGTACAAGGCTGTTTTTGCTGTGACAGTGCCGCATAGGCTGTGGGTGAATCCCTCAGTCCTCAGGTATGAGCAGTGTCACATCCTGCAGTTTTAATTGCTGTGCTCTGTCCTGTCAGATCATTATACTTGAGGTTTGCAAGTTGTTTTACATTCCTCCTCATAAGCTTGTGTTTGTCTGCTGGCTGGCTGTCAGCATTGCTGTGCCTCTCCAGGTGGCTGAAGAAGCATTTGATTGATTTATCCTACAGTCTGCTGTGTCTCAGAGACCCTCTGAAAAGTGGTGGGAGCGAAGAAAGACTGGCTTTCTTGAAGAATTTTTGAAACAAATCTTCCAGATGCTATGTCTCTGGGGCTGTCTTGAAGGGAAAAGCTAAAATTAATTGTAAGCTAGGCAGTCTTCATTTGAAACATTAGTGAGTGAAAAGTTACTTTCTTTCTCTAATACAGCTCCTTTTAGTCTTTCCTGTGTAGAAGATTGTTTTTTCTGCTCCTGTTACTTGAGGACTGTGAATACTGAGTAAGACTCCTAAGTGCTAGAACATGTAAAAGGTTTCTCTCTGTTTCTAACTTTCCCTTTTCCTTCTCCAGGTGTTGTAGGTGTTTGGCTTAACGTTTTTTCTTGCTTTGTCTGTTTTTTGTAGACCAAGGTGCTCCTGATCAACCAGATCTTTCAGAATTTTTTTAAAAAGAAACCTTGGTGGGTGAAAGATGTGCCATGGAATGGTAGCATCAAAGAGCAACACAGGATCATCTCTTGCTTTGACTGGCCATGGGTTATTTCGTCTGCTAGTTTTCTTTGGTTCCTTTATCTTGGAAGCACAGTCCACTGGTAAGTGAAATCTTTATATATGCTACAGGGAGGGGGAGGTATATAAGTTTGGAAGTGACTGTATATTTTTAGGTGAAAACTGGTGGTGTTTGATGTTATTTGTACACAGAAGAAATTTCATCACTACTTGTTTAGCAGAGTGGGAAGTGTCTGAACTGGATGAGTTTTGCGTAGTAGTGAGTAAGTGCTTGTTCTTCATCCTGTAGTTTTGATTCCCATGGGTTCTTTTCCCCTCCATTCTCATCCCTTTACTGCAGCTTGGGGACACTTGGGGCATCTCAAGAGCATGGACCATGTTTGTGTTGAGTGAGATTCTCATGTAAACAGTGTTATTTGTGTGCCTTGAAGGAACTGCTCATGTGGAGGGCTAGAAGCAGAGATTGTGTCCAGCTCTTTTACACAGCTGATGAATCTGTTCAGTGTTTCCTTGTATGCTGTCTTCTGACACCTTAACACCTGCTACCTGTGCCTCTCTCTTGGACCCCCTTTTCAGCTCTTCTTTCTTCCCTCATCTTTTGATGTTTCTTGGATGGATGAGTGTTGTGAATAGTGTAAAAAACAGTGGAATGGGGGATGATAAGAAAAATGTCATCAGAGATGGGACATTTAGAAATGAGTGCCTTTTAGAAATGAGTGGAAGATAGAATAGTGGATACTGAGAAGGTAGTATTTGATGTGAAGTGTGTGCTTGGTTACCCAGGATACCCTGAAATATGTCGTTTTCTCAGACCAGCCACAATCTAGTTTTTGTCTGTAGAGAAATGTCTGGTCATCAGAGGCATGAGATGGAAGGGGAAACTTTGTTTGCTTTTGCAAGAACTTTGAAGGAGTTAATCCCAAAAAGACAGATTTGACTTGAGCAGCTGTTGTAATGTAGAGCGTTAGCTTACCTATGTAAAAAAAACCTCTAAAAAGTCCAATTTATTTGACATATCATGGCACCTGAGAATGTAATGAGACCAACATTCCTCAGCATCAGTGTGGTACAGCAGGATAAACATTAGCTGCCAGATGCAGTCAAAGTTTAGATGATCCTGTATGGAAAAGTCTACTGGTGCTGGAAACTTCTGGAGGAGGAGTTTTGGAGTGATTTCTTTTTGCTATTCCTGGCTCTTTGAGTTGGAAGGGAGAGACTGCTGAAATCAGATATCTCAGGCTTATATGTCTTCCTGACCTATTTTAGCCTTGTAGGTAATGAGGGGGTGGGGAAGACACCCTTAAGAGCATGACAAATTGTCATGAATAGTTAATGACAGTGGGAAAGGGACAAGATCTTTTTGGATCTGGGCTATCCATGCCTTTTTTAGAACCTTGGTGTTGTTGGTGATAGTGTCACTGCCTCATTTCAGATGTAAGCCTGTCAGATATGCCAGCCTGAGGCACCATCACCATCTGAAACCCCATTAGGCACTGCAGCACCTTCAGCTGAGATGCAATAAGTATGCAAATGCCTTGTGCTGCACGGACTGCTGGATGGGGAAAAGCTGCCACAATACTGACAATCCTTTTTAATGCAATTTTTGAGACATCCAATCACATTACAAAAGCGCTAGCTAGGCATGTCAGAAGACCCAAGAGTGATTCTGCATTGTATTTCCCTTTCTGTGTTCTTTTTGCTTCAGGATCTGAAACCAGTTGTGGTGAACTGATGAAGGCAGATCATCTGCTAAACAGGATTATAGTGGCTAGGCAGGAACCATTTCCTGCAGGGGAAGTGAGAAAACAGAGGGGAGCCAGGATCATAGCAGAGGGTAAGACATGCAGGAAGAAGTCCTGGGGGGGGGCTTGCTGAGGAGCACTTCCATGTACAGGTTTTCTGAGGCTGGGATGTGGCAACCCAAAAGGCAATTGCTGGGAGGGATGGGGGGTGCTCAGTGATGCATCATGGGCCCAGGGAGCTGCACCTGCAGCAGCATGCCAGCCATGAGTAACATTACTGAGCATGTCATCTGAGGAGCAGAGAGCCAGATGGAGAAACAAAGAGTACTAGCGAGGTGCTTGGAAAATCAGCTTTCCCTCATCTTGGTCCCCCAGCCAGCTTGCCATCCTCACTTTATTACTTTGCACAGCCAAGTCATTCAGAGCAAGGAGAGCAAAACGCTGTTAACATGAAGCAGGAGACTGTATTAAATCTTGTGGTGGTAGTGCTTATCTTGAATGTAGAGCCAGTGTGACAAGCTCAAAATTGCTATAAAAGCTGAAGAATGTTCTCATAAAAATACATGCATGGAGACAATGTCTGGCTCAGCCCTGAGTAAGAAAGCAGAGCTTGTGATTCGTGTGTATGAAACCATCTGAGGTATATTGTATTGCAATCATTTTGCTGCTTAAAAATTCTATTGCTTAAGTTCCAGGAAGCTTAGAGACATATTCATGGTCTGGGCAGGAAGATGTTCTCTTTGCCATGCGTTTAATGCAGAGAGCAGACTCATTTTCAGTCAGCAAGCATCTGCTCTGTCCTCTGTTTTATTTATGCATGGATTTTTAAGAAAAATACTCAGCACTTTGTCTCAAGCAATCTATCCAAATAGCCTCAAGTGTCATGAGATGAATATAAGTTGCTTAGTCACTAACATACTCTAGAATTTGGGGAACTGTCCCCTTTTCATGGAAAGATATCCATGAATATGAAAATAACCACTGCACATATTTTAACACAAAACAAATGCAGTGCTTGGTAATAGGCAAGCAGTGAGTTTTTGTCAGCAGAGGAGGATTTATGGAAACTTGAGTGTTGCTCAGGAATATTTTTTGAGCTTTATCACTGTTGTAGTGTTTTTCCTTGTCTGGCAAGTTCTCCAAGATTAATTGTGGGAAGTAATGAAGGAATGAGCAAGCAAGGAGACTTAGAAAGCTCCTCAGGAATACTGAGGCTTTGTTCTTCATCTGTCTTTTCTGTTTCTTTGAGGGTTCAACTGCAATGTAGCTAAGAGCCAGGATGCTTAGTAGATAGAGATGGGGAATTTCTGAAACATTGGAGAAAAGCAATGACAACCTTATCTGCATTTCCACAGATAATGCCTCTCCATTTTTTCTTTGTTGCTGTGACTTTTGTAATTTTATCCCCTCTCCCTCCTTCTTTGTCCCTTAAGACCTTGTATTTATATCTCATTCACAATGGTTCTCCTGCCTGGCCAGGCTATTTTTGGAAGAATGACAGTAGATCAGATTAAGTTGTTCATTAAATTTTAAAAGTTGTTCATTAAATTTTAACATGTCTGTAAAATACTCTAAAAGCTTCCTATGTTCCAAATGTGTAATCTCTCTTGGATTCATGACTGGCTCTGTCAGAAACCTATCAAAACAGGTTGGGCCTTTCATTATTGATAATAACATCTCCTGATCCTGGGAAATGCAAGTAAATGTGTTGGTAAAAGAATTAAACATCCCAATATAATTAAATTAAGCAAATATCAATACCCATAAATGAGAGAGTGTAAATATTAACCTTTAAAAATTAATAGTAATGCAGGCTCGGGAATTTTAAGTCCATTTAGATTTAGACACATTCTGATTTTTGTTGACTGCACGTGCAAAATGCTATAAAGTTAGCTCTTTAATTTTTAGGATTGCCATTAAAGTGATAAATTAAGCTTGAATAAACTGAAACCACTTCATTCCTGTGTGTTTTCTGTGACGCAAATGCAGCCAATCTGCTGCTTGCTGTTCTGAGGTCTTTTCAGTGCCAAGGTTACTTTGCACAGAGCTCTGGAGCTCTTGTTTGCATTGCAGAGAGCAGCTTGTTAGAGCGCACTCCGCTCATTGAGCAGATTCAGACTTGTTCCTATTCTTTGGGAATCTCTGCGAAGCAGAGGTTTCCTTTGTCTCTGATTATGCAGCTGAAAGGAAGGCGTTTATACAGCTAGGGATAAATTCAATGGCCCTGAACACAAGGACACTGTAGCACTGAATGGCCAGACAGAAATATGGAGTGTCATGCATGAACAGATAATCTTGATTCTAACCTGTATGCTTCATGTAAGTGTGGGTTTGGAGAAATTACAGTGTCAGCCCAAAGCAGTGTGGCCTTTTTCGTGGAGAGAAGGGGGAGCATTTTCAGGAGCAATTACTCTTTACAGTCCCTATGTAGAGCTTAATAAGAGCAGAGTGGTATGGAAGAGCATAGTGAGGAGCTTCTAGAATAATGCCAGGCTGCAAAGATGGCTAGGAAGCAGATGCAGGTAGGCTCAGGATTAGACTATTCATATAATGATAATAATATTCACACTGCTACACACACTGACCCAGGCAGTGTTACTTAAGTAAATGCCTTGAAGGGAGTAATGAGGATCTCAAGAAGCCACATAACTTTTAAAATTTTAATGAGTTTTAGTGGCTGAAGAATGAATTAAAGCTTTGTGATGTTTAGCCAACTGCTGACTTAAACCATGATAGCATAATAATAATGCTGAATCTTTCTTTTGTCTGTCCTAGGTTGGCCAAGCAAATCCAAAGGACCTGCATGTGAGTAGACTTAAATTCACTGTTGTACTATGAGAAATTAGTGTGATATTTTATTGGTTAATATAAGTGTCTGTGAGCTAGGGGTCCCATTATACTTTTTGTTGTGTTGGATAGGCTTGAGATTCATCTCTGTCTCATTTTAATTTTTGACCCTTGGATTTGGGAATGATGGCTGCCCTCAGTTTGCGAGAGGGAGATCAGCTTCCCACCTTTCACTGTGCTTGGAAGGGATCCTTGTGCCTTCTACAACCTTTAACTTCAAATTACTCAAGAAAACAACAAATCTGGATAAATATTTCATTAAATGCAGAGACATGCTGCTTGTGAGAGTTTTGAGAGGCTCACAGAGTATTGAGAGGACAGACTGAGGTAAAAAAACCTGTCATTTCCTTTAATCAAGAAAAGTGAGTATCTCAGCGTGATTCTTGATGTATTCCATTGGATGGATACTCCTGCTTTTTATTTCAAGTGCTCATAAAAAATCTGAAGTCTTTCCAGTGGCCATGTTATGGATGCATGCAACTTTGGAAGCAGTTGGGAAGCATATTTGGTTTCCTTATCTCTTCTAAATATATAAAATAAAGTTTTCTGTATGTTTTTGTTGAACTCTGAAATAGGATTTGTTTGGTCTGAACTTTTCCCCTCCTCTGAAAAAAAACAAAACCAAAAACAAACAAAAAAAAACCCCCAAAACCAAACAAACAAGGAAAAACAAATAAAAAACCCCCAAAAAACACCACAGGAACAAAATCTGAGGGGAATGGATTAATGAAGAAGCATTTAAATGTGTGGGAGGGGAATTTTAAGCCACCTACCAAATTTTGGTCTTCAGAAAGTGGGGGTTAACAGAAGTGCTGATGGGATCATCTGAATCCTCTATTTATATTCAATGCCTGAATATTACTCCTGGTAAGAAAAGCAGTATCACATACACATAGTATTAAGGAGCTTTCAATTCTTGGCTATGGTTGCTAGCAGGAAAATCAGCTGTTTTAGGAAAGACTTCAAGAGTTGTCTGGTCCAATTCATAGTAGCTTCTTGGGTTAGAATGCAAAAGATGGAAGCTGGTATGAGTTTCATCACAGAGGGAAGCAGGAGGGGTGCTAGTTGGGTTTTGTTCTTCAGGAGAAACTAGTTGTGAACTACAGTCCAGGCAGGTTCTGACTCATCACCATTTTGGTGTTCCTTGAGGACTGCTGCCCACTAGACTGAAGATCCAGATTTCTGTCTCTTCCTATTTTCACTCAGTCCTTTCTTTTTTATTTGCTAGAGGCAATCATTTGGGAAGAGTTTGGGTTTTCCCCTAGTATTACAGGAAAAGTCCTGACAGTGGGACAGAAGAAAGTTTGTTTATCACCTTGTCCCAGTTCCTTTCCTGCTTTCTGTCCCTTTTGAATCTTACACTGGTTCCCAGAGCAGCTGGGCACTATTATGTTTTTCATCTGTGCAACCCATGTCTGCCATTGCTTCTCCAGCCCTTATGTTTAACCAAAGTACCACAAGTAGTTACCACTTCCTCTTCATGCTGCCATGATAATGATTCTGCAGTGGGGATGGCGGAGCAAGAAGTACATTTGCTGTGGAACTGTAGCAAACTTCAGCCTGGGCTGTTACTGCAAGTACTGCTGGTATAGCTGGTGTGTGGTGTGTAAAGCTGTGGGTATGACCTCAGTATGCTGACATGGGTGGGAAGGAGTAAACAAGTGATGGGGCAAGGTAGGAAACTGTAGATTGTTGAGTCTTCAGCTTTTGTGGTCAAATTCAGCTTTTGTGGTCAAGGCTCTGCTAAACCTGGGAATCTGTGTCTAGATGAGGGCTGCTGAAACACTGCTGGTAACAATCTGCCAATAGTCAGGAGTGAAGATGGTACTAAAGGCACTTGAGGAGCAAGCTCAGAAATGTTTGTACCTTTGTGAAAGTAATTGGAAGAGGATTATGGCATTGTCACAAGAGGCTGTATACCTGCTTATCTGTGTGTGCTGGTCTGCATATAAAAACACATTTTTCTTTTAATTAACTGAAACCTCTGGGGCGCGTTCACCTTGCCTTGCAAACAGGAATTCCTGAGGCTCTGCTTCTGCAAAGTGTTGCACTGGAGTTGGAGGACTGCTTCCAGATGTTGTTAAAAGGATTTTAAATAACCCCTTAGGTGTGGGGCTGCATAGATGAGTTACAGGATGTGCTAGGTGGATTGGGCTGGAGCGGGCTTGTTGCTAAACTGTCGAAGAATAAAATAAGCTTTTGGCCCAGCCTAGTACAGTGATTCTCTTGTTATGGAATGGGGAGGGGAACTTCTGGATTTCTTGTACTGAGGAGACTGCCTAATCTTAAGAGGTTGTTGGGATGCTCCCTCATTGCTTGTGTACTTTGGCACAGCTGGTGCTGGATGGAGATCTCTCCTGTGTTTCTTCTCTATAGGTCCAGTGCTGTGAATGCAAAAATAAGTGTGTTTATCCACCTGATATAGTAATAAGCATTTCAGTGGGATCAGAAGCCAAAGAATTGAACAGTAGGGTAACAAAAGAGCTACTTGAAATCCTGTGGACTCAGCATTTTAGGTCTAGCCAGTCATCTTAATTCAATTGGGAAAATATTTCTTGTTCAAAAGCAAAAAAATACCATTGCTGATGCTTTTGAGATACATCTTTTACTTTGTCAGTAAAGGGAAAAATATGTCTTACTTGAAAAATGTTGCCTTGCTGTACAGTGAGATAAGCACCTCTGGTGGATGTTGTCTTGAGTTTTCAGCACACAGACAGGGAAGAAACATAGTGAGCTTGGACACACGCAGAGTCATAATTAGAAAGTCAAATGCTGCTGCTGCATTTCTGGCTAGAAAGAACATTTTCTATGTCCTGAGAAAAAGACCAATGTGGTGTGTAAAGAATTTTGTGTCAGATATATGCTTAGACACTGATAAAACTGTCCAGAAAGAGAATAAAAATCTTTTGTGCTCTTACCAATGTTGTAAGGCGAATGGGGATTTGTAGGAAGGTGGTAGAAGAGACTGAACATGAATGAGGATTGGTGGAGAATAAGATTCTAGGAAGGAGAGGAGGGGGATGGGAGTGCAGCAAAACAGGAGGGTGACTGCTTCCAGAGATAGAGTTGTAAAAAAGATCCTAGTGGTTTATAAAGCAAATTAGTGACTTGATGGTTTAGTAGTGCAAATCCAAAAAGAAAGTAGTGTTTTATTTATGCAAGTAGATTAGAACAGTTGAGAATTGCATGGCCTTGGGAGGGAGAACTCTAGTAGTAAAATATGTGTGTTTACTTTCTTAGGGTTAAATATCTTAATGCAGGAGGATGCCTCTACAACATCAGGATTTTGAAGTTTTTCTGTAGGCAACAAGACTGATTTGTGAGACACTGGTGGAGAGTTTAAGAATTAAAGGTTACAAAGTGCATGTGCCCTCCAGGGACTGAAGTGCAGAATCTAAGGCAGAAGCAGATCAAGGTGGAGACACCAGTTATTGGAGCACTGGCTATGCCTATCTATAAGTGCTCTAACATCATTAATGGTGATCTGGGGGTGAGAAATTATGAAAGACTGTATAGCAATTTTCTGTGAAAGATGATGTAGGGAGGAATTTCAAGTGGAAGTTGCTGCCATGTTTACAGTGGTATGTGACTTTCTCAAAGTTACGTTTTTCTTAGTTTGTGTTCACTATTAAAGTGAACTTTGTTAAAGTGAATAGTTGTGTTCACTATTAAAAGCTGCTTTGCTCTTCCCAGTTGGTATACTGCATTTGTTTGGATGCTTCACCCCTATAGAGGAACTCTTTTTGTAAGGAGGTTAACCTTTTTAAGGTTGCCCACTTTTAATTCTTTTTCGGCCTTTTGTTGTTGTTTTTTCCTTCCAGGTGGTGTCTGTATGTCACTGTAAATGTGGAATGAAATTATGTTAGAGTGGGTAAGTGACTTCTAGTGCTGCCTTTATTCTCGACCACCAGCATGCTGGAGATTTAACATCTAGGAGACTTAGCTGATGCTGCAGAGGCCCTCAGGAATGTGCTTTCTGGTCTGTCAAACAAAACTCACAGCTGTTGATATATCTCTGTCATGGCAGGAGAGAAATGTGGATTTCTAACAGTTTCCCGTGTCCATTCCTCTTGTAACTTCAGAGCAGCTGTCTTTGAAACTCAGAGCCCTGGGGCTGTCCTGCTATGTAGCCAGTCTCCAGTAGTTCAAGTTATGGGCCTGCTGGTGTGCTTTTTGAAAAGGAGCTGTACTGTATGAGTTGTGCTGAGCCATGCTTTGTGCTGCAGCACATTTTCTCTTTTGCACAGGCAGTGTGTAAAGTATCAGTAATGCTCTGTATTATCCTGAAGCTAGCACTTCTCTCCCTGGTTTTGCTGTCCCTAGCAGAAGTAACCGTTGAATGCACCTGAATGACAACCTTCAGGTTTCATCGTAAACACTTTCTTTGGTGTAAATGACCTAGGTTGTAAAATACTAAAAAAAGGCAAAAGGTTTATAATATGCCTGTTTGGGTTCAGCTGTCACTCTTTCTCAGAGGAGGAAGTTACAGATTTTTTGTATGCAAGCTGAGAAATTTGAACATAATCACAAGCTGCAGTGAGTAGACCTTTAAGAGCAAGTCTTAGTGAAATCCATGAAGGTGGCAAGTTTGTTTTTTTTACATTTTATTATTTTAGTCCTCCAGTTCTTTGACTTTCCCAGCAAACTAGTCTTGCTGCATATGTTTATGCCATTAGCCCAAAGCAGGGTTGACCTTTGAGCCTTCTTACTTTGAATCTCTTTATTTGCATTTACTTCTCAAATATTTAAATGCTTTCTTTAAGTTGACAGTTCATGCTTTGATGGTGACTGTTTCCTCCATGGCTTTTAGTAAGCTGGACTCCACTTTTGGAACAGTTGAGGGGAGATGTACTGCTGGGGGAGCTGGGAGAGCTGAGCTCTCTGTTGGTACAGGACGCAGGTAAATTTTAGTCACTGGTGTGGTAGTGAAACACACAGAGGCAGATGACAAGACTGGC